TTTTTTTTTTCTTCAATATAGTTAATTTAGAGTTAGTTTCATTTCTACAAATGGTGCAAACTCTGCTAGATTATAGATAAAAGATTCCCATTCCCCTGCCATTCTGTGATCGGCAGTGATCGGCAATCGGTAGATCATGCATGATCTTGGTGATCGGTAATCGGCCCCAAAAATGCTGATCGGAGCATCTCTAATATGTGAGTCTGTTGTGGTGCTATCATGAATGAACAGTGTGTGTAGAGACTTTTTCTAGCACTGTCTCAATTTAAATCCAAATTTTGGGCAAATTATAAAGGAAACTAACACTTAGACATGATATGTATGCAGTTCTGTTGCACTATTTTTTGTGCTATCCTTTACTAATTATGCATTTTATAATGGGTAATGCAATAGTGGAACTGGCGCCTTGATATCTGTTGTGACGCGAATTACGTCTGACCGGGAATAGATTTCGGAATGAGACAAAGTGGAAAGACGGAGCTACACTCAATTCCTATTACAAGCTTCTGTGTCTAATTTAAGACTACATTTGGCAAAGGTTGAATGTGTCTGTAAGTGAGACATACTGTACACAACAACTTGAGTATGGCTATCTGAAAAAATTGCTGCAGTAAAAAATTAACACTTTATATTAACTGCACCTTCATAATGTATTCATTATGCATTCGTAGAAAATTCATAAGCAGCACATGAAGTATACCTGCATAGTATATCTGAAGTACAGCGGCATGCACTCAAGCAATAACCTTGATTTCATTAAAAACTTGGCTTGACATAGTTTGCTGATAGTCACCATCATGATACCGATTATCTTAAATTGCATTTGTTTTAGTCAAAATGAAACTTACCTTTGAAGTCTGACCTCATCAAACCAGCTTTGTGATACAGGCCTCATAACAGGAAGATTTAGAAGATCACATTACCTTCAGGGTCAGGCTGGTGGGATTGGGTCCTGCATTGGCTTGGCTTGTCATGGTGCCACAGAAGACAGAGCTGATGGAATTGAAGAAGCTTGATTTTCCAGCACCAACATCACCAACCAGAAGAATCCGAGCCTGAGGTACCGACTTAATAATGGGTGTGTATTCTTTCACCAACGTCTTGAGACAGTTTCTTGTACTAAAGGATACATTCAGCATAAGACCATCGTTACTCACCCAATTAAAAAATAATAACAAAAAATCTATTGCATGCAGCACACCTGAGTAGGGTTGCACAAAACTGTTTCACAATTCTTGAGCAATATTTTAACATATCGAAATTGCTCTTGTAACCCAGTTAAAAAATTGCAATTAGATTGTAAATTATAAAATACAAAACCAGATATTAAGATGAATATATAATTAGATTGCGGATTAGGTGGTTTGATAAATGCAGCGGGCATAGAGAAGCACCATTACGTAAAGGATATATCTATATACAGTGGTATCTCGGTTCTCGAACTCCCTTGAACTCGAATTTCTTGAAAATCGATCAAACCAGTTTGACCTAGAACTTGATCTGAATATCAGAAGTTGAACCGTGAACGCTGACCTAATATAAATTGTACGCGCCAGGAAATGAGTCATACTACAATGCAATTCTTACTTGAATGCCTTCTTCACAGACTGGACGATTAACTAAATAAAGTAGCGCAACATTACAGTAACTAACAATAAATAAACCACTAACTTACGTGTACTATTAGAGCATTTATGTAATTTATTTAAACTTTATTTTACCATGTAAATTAACTGAAAACCAGTTCTCACTGCTTTACATGATATTCGGGAGAAATAGCAGATTACGCATTGGAACTGCCTGGGATACAAACGTCATGCGTGTAACTGAACTCTTCAGCCAATAAGGGCAAAGGTGTGTCATCACGGAGGCGGTTCCAGTTTGTGCAGCCGGGTGAGGGGTCGCAATGCATCTAACCGTAATGCATTGCATCAAGATCAGAATGCGTTGCTTTAAGCCAGCGCTGTAAGGAAGTCGAACGCACCCAATGACCGGACTTTGGAAACAAACTGAAACGCGAACTTAATACAGAGGACTAATGACAACAACCAGAAACAGCTGATCACATGGGGATCCCACACGAGGTTAACGAGGGGGCGTGGAGCAGACGATCAGGGCAGGACAGGGGTAATGTTGGGATAAGATTTTTATCGTTTTGGAAGCCATTAAGAAAAAAATGCTCTTCTTGTTTTATCCTGTTCATTTTGTGTTTAAATGCTAAAAAAGAAAAACATATTTAGGTGTAATTTTGGGGGGCCGGGAAGCAATTAATTGGTTTTCCATTATTTCTTATGGGAAAAAATTGATCAGAACTCGAACTTTTTAGGATTCGATCCGGAGTCCAGAAGGGATTAAGTTTAAGAACCGAGGTACCACTGTATATTAGTGCTGTCCCAAACGTTATTCTTTAAATGATTAATCTAGCAATTTTTTTTTTAGCAATTATTCGACTAATTTAACAAGTAATTTTTCGATTGGTCTGATGATAAATTTATTGATAAGCAATTTTTTTGTTAGTCATTTAATACAATTCAACCCCTCCCCCGACACACACAAATCTGAAATTCTCATTACTATTTCACTTTATTAAAACATTTCTTATACTTGCAAAATAGTGCGGCACTGCTGGCACCGGCGATATTAGAAAAAACTTCAGTGGTACCTCAGTTCTCGAACTCATTAGAACTCGAATTTCTTAAAAGTTGAACCAACCAGTTTGAAAAAAAATAACCTAGAGCTCGATCTGAATCTCAGAAGTCAAACCGTGAACGCAGACCTAAGATAACTTGTACGCGCAGGGAAGTCAGTCACGCGGCATGTCTCTCAGCGGAAACAAAGGGTAAAGCTTCAGTCTCAGCCTTGCATTCGCTGCGATAGCATCGTGCATGTTTACACTAGCTGAATACATATATTTAGACAGTAAAAATACATTTAGACAATGATAGACAGTAACAGTAATTATTATATAATAAAATACATTTTAAAATAAAGATTTCTTATTCATTATTTGAATATTAATAATAAACCATTAATACATTTAATTATAATAATATTGTCATGCCAAGCGGGATGGAAAGGAGACAAAGGCAGAGACATCAGGGCATCTGGGAATACAGGGTTTAATTACAGGTAAGGCAGGCAAAATGCAGGCGGACAATACAATGACCGGACTAGGGAAACAAACTGAAACACGGACAAAATGCAGAGGGGATTTCACACGGGGTTAATGAGGGGGCATGGCACACGGAAGGAGCGGACGATCCGGGCAGGACACATTTGTTTTTTATTTTTTAACTTTACACAGTGTTTGGATACATTTATTTTCTTACTTTACAAATTACTGTTTTGATAAATGTGCTTAGATGTGTTTAGTACAGTATATGCTCTTCTTCACTGTAAAAAAAATCCCGTTGTTTTTACGGAAAAAAGCTGGCAGCTGTGGTTACCAGAATTATTCTGTAAAAAATACTTCACACATGTAAACAACTTTACAGAAACATCTATAAATTGTACTGGATTTCAATGTAAAACAACCACCAACTACATGTAAAGTTTACTTGGTTTCAGTGTAGAATAAACAACGATTAGATGTAAATTATACTGAAAGAACTGGTACAACAGCAGCATGGCTCTGCTAAATTAACAGAAAGAAGATGTTGAATCTACAAATTAACTATGTAAAATGTTATAGTTGTGGTATGTGAAATAGACAGACTGTTTTATAAAGCTGTTTATATTCTTAATGAATTTTTTTTACGGAATTACTCTGGTAACCACAGCTATCAGCACTTTCTTGCCGAGGTAACACGCTACATCAGGCACCCAAAGAGCACCGAACCAATTACACACAGTAAACACGAGGTTGTCAGACGCTCAACTGTAAGTCGCATACACGGTGGGAGATTTACGGACGCTAATTACACATGAGGATCGGACAGGGTACACATAAGACACAGGTAAACACACGCGACAATAAGGAAATATAACCATTAGCAATAACAACAACAATACAAGGGCTATTTACAAATGCGCGCGGGGCATGCTGGGACATGAGCCCCGCTGGTGCTGCAGTATTTTTTATCACCTCAGTGGAAAAATACCTTCTTATCAATGGACCAGAGGTGTTGCCATGAGGTGAAGTTCTGACGGTAGCCCCAAATGTACCGTCAAAAGCTGTCTGACAAACCAGAAAATCCTGAGTTGTGTGGACTATTTCTAGTTGGTTCGTAATGCACGTAGCAAAAAGCAAGTGTTGATATATCATTTAAAGTTTTACTGTTTCTCATCTGTAAAGCACAGAATATTAATTTGTAAAATGTAACATGGTTATCTTTCAGTATAAACAAAGCTAACCTGATTAAAAAAATATTATTTTCACACTGTTATGGTGTAATTTTAACTGTATTGTACTGGTTTTTATATTACAGTTTGCTTGCGTTTAAACTACAGTAGTTTGTTAACTCTACCAAAAAAATATTTTTTAAAACATTTTTACTGAAAAATTAACAGTTGTTTTTTGTTAAGCATTTTACAAAATCTTAATGTCAAATATACGCTGCTCTATTGTTTTTTCTTTTACAGTTTTTTTATGTCGTTATTTTACAGAATTTCTCAGTTAATTTCACGGACATTTTTTACAGTGTTGTTTAGCTGCTATTTTGGATCGATGCTGTACTACAGCCTTGCCATAATTTCAGGTATTCCGTATAACGTAATTCAGTGCGCTTCATGGAAGTTTTCGCATTGTTTTCTTATTCACAGCTCTTTGTGAGAAATTATCTTTAAGTAACTTATAGGACCGTATGTCATAATATAAAGTGTTTATTTTATCCCTGTTTCCTTTCCCCCTTTTCCTTACGGTGTGTTCACCGTTTATGTGCATCTGAATAAAACCCCCTTTCTGAAACATCAGTTGAGAGTTTCACCATCATTCAGCCAGGGATGCTACACCATCCAAGAATCACATTATCTTTGCAATCGAGAGAACTTATTCGATATGGTCATTCAAGTTGCAACATTGTGCACTAAAATATTACAGAGTAATTCTGTGTACAATTAATTGTATATTTTGAACATTTTCCACGAAAAATCATCCCTAATAATCCATAGAATATCGATTTTATTCACATTAGACAGAAAACAAAGCACATATTTGCTTCTGCGATGATCCACACAATACCCTTCTGGGTAAAAATATTTGTTTTATAATTTATTTATTATAAGTCTATAAATAATTGGATAGAAAAACACTCAAAAATGGGCTAGAATTCTACTAGAAATAACAACAAAATGCAACATTCTATTTATAAGGAAGACAATTACTTGATATTTTCGTAATTTTTATTCACAAAAGTTTGTAAAATTATATTTGAAGTCGAGCTCCATCAAAACAGTTGAAATAGAACGTGCCCATGTGTAATTGCAACCCCTTCTACATGTAAACGCAATGACATGCTACAGCGTACTGTATTGTTTGAGGCTAAAATGTTGATTAAAAGTTTCCTCCTCAGATTTCACTTTACCAATCATTAACATATATTGGCGGAAAAACAATAGCAATAAACATTCAGCATTAGACTCTAAAATGGTCTTTTATGTAAGAACAAAAGAAATTTACAAACGAGAGGAGGCCATTCCACCCATCAAGCTTACTTGGGGAGAATTGCTCAGAGTTGTTAAAATCTCATCTAGCTCTGATTTAAAGGAACCCAAGGATTTAGCTTACACTACACCAGGGTTCTTCAAATCTGGACCTCGATTCCAAATTCAGGCCTTGTTTTCAGTTCTCCCAGGTAGTTAGTTGAATAATTACTAATTCTGATTGGTCAGAGGCTTCACACCTGACTGACAGGTAAAGGAAGGCTGGAAAACCAGCAGTGCCTGGACCTCGAGGACCGTGATTTGAATAACCCTGCACTACACTAACATGAAGACAATTCCATACTCTGACTATACGCTGTGTAAAGAATTGCTTTCTCAAATTCAGTGTAAATTCTGCTAATTTCCACCTATGGCCACGAGTTCTTGTATTTGAACTAATATTGATGTAACCATTTGGTTGAACAGCATTCAGACCTGTTAGAATCTTATATACCTGGATCATGTCCCCCCTTAGTCTC